TGAGGGGATAGCAAACCGCTAAGCAAATTTAACTAACAAAACATAAATTTAAAAAGTTGGACACAAAGCGCTCAATAGACAATAAACCGTTGAGAAAAAAATAAAGCGTTTAGCAGATAACAAACCGCTGAGCGAAAAATGGACAGTTTCAAAAACAAAACCTCACTACCACAAAGAAAATTTCAAATCACTAAGCGAATTAAAATTCGTTGAGTGGATGTCAAGCCGTTGAGCGGATGTCAAGCCGTTGAGCAGAATTTGATAGTGTGCATAAAATTGAACAAAAATGATAAAAGTGCTCAGCAAAAAAAACAAACTGTTGAGCGAATGACACAAAATAGTAAAATTTTTAAGGTTTTTCAAAGCTTTTGACTCAAACAAAACACAAACAATTCAACACAAACTTAAAATAAAAACAATCACCAATTGCTCCTCAACAACGACGCCATTTTGATTAAGTAAATCTTGTCGCCTAGATTTCATCAAACAATTTACAATGAAAGTAATGCAGTACTAGGGCTAGCCTAGGTCGTGTCCTCAAGGAGAATTGCTTAGTTTTGTTTCAATCTTGATTTTCAATGTCAAAAGCTAGGAAATAAGAGGTTTTATGATGTTTAATGCAGAAACTAAATTGAAAGTAGTAATCTAATCTATTAAAAACAATAAATTAAGCATGTAAATGAAAACATTAAACCTAAGCTATGAAAGCAATTAAAGAAATCATTTAAAGAAAGTTGTAAAGGAAAGCATTTAAAGAAAGCTTACAAATCTCATTTATGAAAACTGTAATGGCAGAGTAGTAAGAACATTGAATTAATTTTATTTCTTCAAAGCTATAAAGTTTGCTAGAAATATTGTAAACTAAATTTTGAAAGTAAAGCAGAATCAAATTAAAATTTGAATTGAAAATATGATGAAGGACAGTGAAGATTAAAGTAAGAAATTGTGTTGATTCTCCAATCATAAACTTGTTTTTATGATTATCATTGATTTCTATGGAGTTGTCTTGTAATCACAAAAACAAATCCACAACAGTTCCAATCAATTACAGTCCATTTGAAATTCCTATTCATAACTCAATTCCTAAATCAACCAATCACTTAAACCTAAAAATTGAATCATGATGTAAAAGAGACATTCAATCAAATAACCTCAATTATATTGATTGTAATGGATTATAATCGGTTAGAATCATTAAAAATCAAATCTAAACCATAGAAAACAGGTTTTAATCGATGAATCAACAACAAAAGCAAATTAGAACATGATTAACAAAGTGGAAAACCATAAATAACATGAAAAAAATAAAGAAATTGAATGGAAGATGAAATAGAAGACGAAATACAAAGTAAAACGAAAAAGTAAAGAGAAAATTAAACAAATTGGATCAAAGATAACTTGAATTGATAAAATTCATAACATTATTCGCACAACAAGCTCCATGAACAGACTTTGAAGCTAAGCATCACTTAAGAAAACTAGAGAATCTGAAAACTAAACTTGAAACTTGAGAACTAAGTTATGGTTCAAACTTAAATTGTGACTAAAATTTAACTTATATTTTTCGACCTTCAAAGGCTTATTTGTACAACAACAAATGCATATGAAACGATCAAGGTCTATTCGAGACTCATAATTATATAATAGAATTCAAAATAACATTATGCAAAAATGAAATTCGACAAATCCACTCAACACTTTAAAAAGAACTCAACAAATTTACAATTAAATTAGTTACATGAGCTAGCGGATCGAAAAGCATTATAGCATATGTAAAAGTGTTGAGCGGATAAAAAGCACTCAAGGGATTGCTAATTTTCAAAATATGAACTCTTTGGACTGATTCCATTGAGCGAATTCAAAAGCCCTCAGCAGCATTCCATTGTTTTTGCTTTTATAATTTCTTTAATTTATCATTCTTGCAAAATTAAACAAATAATTAGTTAAAATGTATAATTTAAGCAATAAATTAGTTTAAATCAACAATTCAATTATAAAGACGTGACAATCATAATGTTAAAATACAAGTACTTAATTAATATATTCCAAATATATAACAAGTGATCAAGTGGTTATCATAACATAATTGAGATTAGAAATCCTCAGTACATAAATTTAATTGCATTCAATCACTCAAAGTGTTTAGGGTAAGTGTTTCTCTCAATTAACATCTCAAAAAATAAGATTTACCATAGGCTTGATAAAGTTCTAATTACATAAATAAGAAACATAATTAAAGATCAAAAGGTCTTTTAAAGGGTTCTAATGAGGTCAAGGTATGGTATAAACAAATGGAAAACAAAGCTAATTATAAACATAAGACTTAAAGAGAAGAATCGGGGAATGAGCTTTTAAATAAATCACTAGAATACTATATAGAAATAAATATTTCTCATTTCCTTTTTCTCTTTTTCTTTTTCTTCTTTCTTCTTTCTTTCTTTTTTTCTCGCATTTTTTTTATTTTTTTTTATTTTTTTTTCACTTGCTAAGTGGATTTTTGTGCGCTAAGTGAATATATTATTCTTTTTCAATTTTCCAACTACTGTAATGGCTCATTTTGTTGATCAAGATTAGAAATTAAGCAGTAAGTTACTTTCATTTTGTCACTTAAATAGTTCACACACTCGATAAGAGCTATCAAGAAAGGTACTTAAAGTACTTAAGGATTGAGGAATAGAACAAAAAATATTTTCTCTCACATTGGAAATGTCTCACCAAATGATAGCATGGTGAAAATTTTAAAAGACAAACTTAATTTGAAAAATGCTTTGTTAGGTAAAGGTGAATATTTTTCATGTGAGGTGTTGTGCACATATCTTGAATATTATAGTTCAAGAAGGGTTAAAGTCAATGGGTAATGATGCTCTCTACAAAATTATAGATAGTGTTAAATATGTGAAGGCATCAGAGGGTAGATTGAGAGAATTTCAAAAATGTGTTGAAGAAGTGGACTTAAGTGATATAGGTGGTGATTTCTTTAGACTAGATGTTGCTACTAGATGGAATGCTACATACATGATGCTTGAAAGTGTCATTAAGTATCATCGAGCATTCACTAATTTGGGATATAATAATAGAAGTTATAAGTTTTGCCTAACTAATGATGATTGGGTGAGTTTTTGACCCCTTTTTATGATATTACTAATTTGATGTATGTGTCATTTTATCCCACCTCAACCTTATATCTTCTTCAAGTTGCTATTATAGAGATGAGATTGAATAAAAATCTAACTAATGAAGATGAGGTGATCAAAGATATGGGAACAAGGATGAAGGTGAAATTTGATAAATATTGGAACGAATATTTTGTCACTCTAGTCTTTGGATGTGTTTTTGAACCAAACACAAAGTTGAATTTTATAAGTTTTTTTTTTTCAAGAGACTTTATCCATTTGATTATGAATAAAAAGTCAATAAGTTAAAGGATATATTATACCATCTCTTTGATGAATATATAAACCAATCCACTACATCAACTCATTATTAAGAAACATTCAATCTCCTTACCAAATATGAAGAAAAAATTCCTCAACATCCATTCTTGAGGTAAGTTTATAATTTTGTACTTTATTTTTATTCATATATTTAAAATTCTAATAAACTTTATTTTATGGCTTATCATCAAAAAATAATAAGTAATGCTTCAAATGATGTCAAGTCTCAACTTAACCTTTATTAGAGTGAATCATGTCTTGGTGATAATTAGTTGCATATTATGATCAAGTTGAACCTTATGGTATATTCAAATTAATATTCAATATTTTATAATCTTTATATTATACAAATTATAATTATTTATAAGAAATCAATCTTAATTAACTTAAAATAAAAAATCTTAGAAATCAATCTCGTACATGCATGCTTCGTTCTATACTCTCTACGCAAAGCATCTAAGAAAGATGGAGCTGGACAACCAGGGTGAAAAAATAATTTTGAGAGTGATTGTTAATCTTTAAAGAAAAAGTAACCTCCGTGCCTTTAACGTTGTTACCTTTTCTTAAAAAGTCAGATTTTAAACTGCCAAATTCCATTTATTGTTATTTTTCTAATATTCTTTTATATAGTTTTGCCACATTAGCTGAGAGTGATTAATGAGATCATAATCCATGATCAGACAAAAAAAATAATCATGTTTAGTTAACATAAAATATTAATAATAAATAATATTAATTTATTTTTTAAAATAAGTTTCTATAATATTATTATTAAAAATACAATTTAGTCTTTATATATACACACACACACATATATATATATATATATATATATATATATATATTTAAATATTATACAAAATCTAAGGTTTATATATCAATTAGATTAACTTTGATTTTAATTATTAGTTTCCTTAATTTATTTAATTTTTCATTTTATAATTAGGTCCCGTTATTTATCATCACAAATCTTTATATATGGTAAAATAGATATACATCAGGACATCGATTCTCATTGCCCATTTCTTTATTAAAAAAATAAAATAAAATAAAAGTGGAGAGTACCTTGAGTAAAGAGAAAACAAAGTGTATATATATATATATATATATATATATATATATATATATATATATATATATATATATATATATTCAAGGGTGCCGACAAAACATGAGTACAAAAGTTGGATAGTTGGCAAGTAGCTAAATCTATGAAAGTTACAAGGAATATTCTTCAAAAAGAAATATTCTTCAAAAAGAAATATTCTTCATCCCAATATCTTGAAACAACCAATAATTAGGAAAATTTTAATGCTGCAACTCGATTATATATTAAAGGAAAATGAAGTGCAGTGGCACTTCCTACCATTAAAGCAGTATGCAAAAGAACCATTAGCAAGACTAAAAGTAGGAAATAGAGAAGAAGACTACAAATGAAGGAAGAAGACCAATTTACCAGTCATGGGCATGTCGCACCAGAATCCATGACCCAGTAGACAGAGGAAGAAGCAATAACCACTGGTAATTCAAGAGTGCTTATACTCTTGAGTTCTAGCCGAGTCCCCCCTAGTCCCTCATACGGCCATTCTCAGCATAATCAACTCCCCTCTCTAATGCCACCTCAGACATCTCAGTTCTTCCTCCTTCATAAATTATATATTTTGGGCGTTGGATTCATGCCCATAACAGAAAACATGAAACTAATAATTCAAATTGTTTGAAGTTTGAAACAATGTCTCGAACTGGACAGCCCACAAACTCACCAGCATATTTCACTTCATTTCCTTGGTCAGTCAGGAAGATTTGTGAAGCATCCTTAGAAATTTCTGCTGAATCCCATTTACTATTTCCAAAATTAAAACAAAATAAATCATAAAAAATCGAAAAGAAAGAGAAATATGATTTCACAGACATTCAGATAGCCGTTTCAAGCGGGTGTTGATGTTGTCAGCTTGTTTGGGTCACATTTTTGCCAGTGCAGCCTGCTACTAAATTCATTTTTCCCATAAACATTATTTTCCTTTGAGCTAATGAATTTTTGGGTGTGCTGCAATGCTAAAATAAACACTTCTTGAAGAACCTTATTTAGCTAAGAACAAATAATAGTGATTTCAAAGACTGTTTGCTTTATAGGAACAGGTATATGATGATTTTCAATAAATAAAGGTGATTTCTGAAAGGTTGTCAATAACTTCACATATTGTGGGGAATGTAATTGCTCCAGGGTAAGAGATGGTGTAAGAGGGGGGAGCTCACCGCAGAATAACATATGTCCTTCTACATCATAATGCACAACTTCTCATCCCAAAATCACCAGTCTAGGTAGAAAAACATCGGTTTCAATGCTCGATGTGCTTATCCAATTACGCAAGGAATATTTGCAGTAGAATTGTTCTATAATTTATGTATGATAAAAACACATGTAAAGTTTTGTTTCCTTGGAAGGCCTAATACCACTTTAATGCATAATTCAACCAACCCAAATTTTGTATCTAAGAACTTGAAGAATTTGATTAACTGATAGATGAGAAATTCCATAAAGATGCAAACACTCTGATCCATTTTCATTGTTGGATAAAAGTGTGTGCATTAGCTTTACCTCTTCTTTTTTCAGTTTCAATAGTTTAAAAATCTCGCTAATACAAGGAAAAAATGCTTGTGGGCGAGCACAGTAAGGCTGAAAAATAAATATTAGTGCTTGCATATCAGCTTCAAATTGATTGGCTCCCACCTTAAAGAACCAAGTCTCACTTCTGACAATGCTGCATGAAATGTAATGATCTAGCCCCTCAGCAATGCTTCTCCACAAATCCGAAAAATCCTTCTTATTGAGATTTATCTTCACAGTTTGAAGCCAGGATTTTAAGGCGTCCAAAGCTTCAACAAAATCATTAGAAACTACTAAATCAACATCCTCTCTTAGATTTGTATAACCTTGATCATCTTTAAAGCTATCATTGTTTTGAACATATTCCCAAGAAAGCATTTCGAACTGTCGAAGAATAACTGCAATAATTTCCATAAGCCAGTTCGTTTCCATTTCAGACAAGCTCCTCATTTCTTCGTCAAAAAAGCAGCCATTATCCATTGAATCATCTTGCATGGGCTTGCCAGCATCATTTTCAGCAATTTTCATCTCCAAAACATCCACAGAATCACTCCATTCTTGCAATTTAATCCAAATATATCTGGCAGCATTTATTAACCCGCACACTCTAACTAAAGCAACATCAGAATTATCCAGACATAATTCAGTTGTCTTGAACTGAAAAAGGAAAAACTTAAAGAAGTACCAAAGGAATCTTCCTGCAGTAAATCTAAGAAATTGTGCACGTGATAAAATGGATGGCACAGTTTGGCAACGTTCAATTATTTCCCAGATTATTTTAAGAAAAAACTCTGCAATAGGTGGAGCTTTATGATCTTCAACAGTCGATAGCAGATAGTCCTGATTTGTGTCAATCCCAGGTCTGCATTTCTTAGAAATCACCCACGAGTTCTCTTCTTTCAGTTCGGTATTAAGTTTCTTCCAGGTATTTTTGAACTCTATTTTCGCCCAGATCTTTAGCCAATCAGACCTATTACAAAATATTGATAGAACTGATATGCCTCTTGAGTTCCCTTCAAAACTCTCAGACATTGCCAGAAAACAAGTATCCAAATTGAGAAGGGATTGCATCTTTTTGTCAAATGCAATTATAAGGTCCACAAGGTGAAGCCATGAAGATGATACATCAGGCTTCAAATGCTTTACTTTATATCTTTCAGCGAGCAAAGAAAAAACCTTTTTTTCAAGAAAGCCAGAGAGCATTTGGACCATTGCAGAGACCCATGCCTCCTTTGCACTACAACTGATAAGCCTGGCCTTGTCAATAAGTGGCTGCAAGACACCATCTATTCCTGTAACAAAATCTCTGGTAACTTTATATGCCAAAGCAAACATATATTCTGGCTGCTCAGACCATTTGGTGAAATGGTATTCCATCCTTGATGCAATAGGTGACACTAATTCATCAATGGCCCAAAGCTGTATGTTCTGAGTGTCTTTCTCTATAAGATTATTATTAAGCTGTCTTTCTTCCCTTCTCTTTTGCAGATGCTGCAAAGCACAGAGGGCTATAAAACTTTGCGAGTATTTTCTTCTTTTATCTTCTTGCATAAGAACCAATGGGTTAGGAAGTTGTGTGATATGATCGCTTCCATTTTTTGATAGAAGCAGTTTCGGTGGCCATCCAAGAGAGATTATAAGAGCCCGATGATCTGCAAAAACTTGTGGCCGGAGAGCAGATAAGATCTTATCTACTCTAATGTCAACAGACTTAAGAAGACAATGCCACTGAAGATGGAATTTTACAACGCCAACCAATACCTCTTCGATATCATTCATGGCTTTTATAGCCTGAAGCAACTTGTCATGTTTTCTTGCAGCATCCTACAGCACAATACATTCGAGCATTACAGTCAATGATCAATTATTAACAATGCAAGCTACATTTATAACTGGGTAAAAAAAGGGAACAACAATTACTTCAGAGATAGGTGAATTCAAGAGCTTCAATTTAAACATATTCCCTCTGTGGCAAGCCATGACAAAGAGAGAAGCATCTTCAAGATCCCCAACTAGAGCTTCCAACTGTACAGCAGTCTCTGAGACAATAAGGTAAACTTTACAGCTAGATGGTTCAAGATGCACAAAAAATCAGAGCACCAACCATTTGAGTGAAACAAATAGTAGCAATCAATGAATTCCATTTTATACGGAGCACAATACAATCACCATTTACCAAACATAACTTAACACAGTGCAAAATATGCAATATACCATGTATGATACCCAAGTATCCGGAGTCATACATACATGCATCAAATCAAAATAAATTAATGTAAAGAATATATAAATCAAATTAGGGGACAGTGGGTTCATATACCTTATAATTGTAAAAACCAAAATTAGGGGAGTGGGTTCAAATATATAAAATTAGAAGGACAAGATATAAAATTCAAGAGATTTACTTATATCTTTATCAAAGTAATGCACCACCTGGAACACTCATTTGTCCACCATGTTTAATGAACACAGAAGCTCATTCCTGATAAAGAAAATTCTAATTAAAATGCCAATCAACCAACCAACTAATTTAGCATTTGGTGGAAATTCCATTCCATGCAACATGTTCAAGAGAAAAACAACTAAGAAAACATTAATAATAATAATAATAATAATAATAATAATAATAATAAGTATCACTGTACATTATAGCATTCTATGATCCACAATGACACATGTTGAAGCCACCAAAAAATTAAACAAAATACACATACACCCACAGCTATTCAAAACAAACTCACCAAGATAACACCGAAAAGACTCGATTCGGTTCATTTCCTTGGTCAATCGAGGAATCTCCTCACTCAACACCCGCCGAAACCTCTTCGAACCAATTCCCGCTACACACAAAATAAAACATCCAAAAGTATTCAACAAAAACACGAATTTGTTTCAAAAAAAAAACATAACCATTTCTATTTTTCCATACACGGAGAAGTGCGGAGGGAGAGGTCGCGGAGAGCGAGGGAGAGTTGATGGAGCGAGGATTTGGCGAGGAAGGAGCGAGAGATCCACGAAACGGTGCGTTTCGCCGCGTGCCGGAGTAAGAGGGACTCTAGCTCGGAGCATTGCTGCGAGAGCGAGGAGGAGAGAGAGAGATTGGAGGATCCCTGAGATAAGTCGCGTTTGGTTCGGAAGTGTTGATCCAGAAACGCCGCATGTTGGGGCGCCAGGTCGGTGACGTTTGGCAAACGCGGAGGAGAAGAAGAAGGAGCCATGGTTAGTAACGTTCGGTGCGGTGCTATGCAGTGATGTATATAGTAGTAGCAGTTTTTTTTATGTATTGAGCGAGAGATCCATGGTTTTCAATTTTGGTTCCGATTCATCTTTTGCTTTCCAAATTTTTTAAATCCGCCTTTTATTTTAAAATATTTATTAATAATATTATGCTCCTTTTTTAACCTTTTTCTTTCTATGTGCATTTTAAATCAGTTATTTTAATAATATATATATATATATATATATATATATATATATATATATATATATATATAATCATATTTGTTTACCTTTTAGATGTGTAAACTAAAGTTCACCCGTAGATCAATTTGATTGGTTTTGATTTTCAGTTTTTATACAGGAGACTTAAATTTAAATAAAAAACTTAAATATACTTTTAATATCACATTTCTTAATCATTTAAATAAATAAATAACAAGATATATGTTATGTTTGTGAGTTAATCCAACTGGTTCATGTCAAAGTCAATAATGACACGTAGTGTTAATGTGTGTTCCAATCTTTCTCTTGATGATTTTGAAGTGAGTTAGGTTAAAGAAATTACAAAGAAATAAAATGGTCATGCACGTCAACATGGTTTCACATTATTAAAATTGGTTTGGGTTTATTACATAATAGGTTAACTTGTGATCTATTTCTTGTTTTTATTTATATGTTTAATAATTTAATTTATTCTACTTGTGATTTTATTTTATTTTATTTTTTAACTATTTACCAACATTTAACTTAACGTAAAGAGCTGTTTGTCAACTACTTGCCAACTTTTCTATTCAATATGATATAAAACTTTTTTTTTACTTCTATCTCACTTAAATAGCTAAGTACATGTGGTCAATAAATTATCATTATTACTTCAATATTTTTGTTAGAGTTTAAAGGTAAGTTTAAAAACGATGAATTAAACTTTAAAAGATTTTAGTTTAATTCAATTCAAATTTTTTTTCCTATAAGAACAAAAATATAACACGTTATAATCAAAGATCTAGGCATTACAAAAAAGTGGTAAGAAGAGTAAGATATAGTAATTTTCTATCAAGAAAACTGCATTTAGGTGTCCAACATACTATTGACCTTATTCCTTATTATTTTTGGTTTATAGAAGAACACAACAAGAAACATAAGAAATAAATCAAACATTTTGATCTTGAACCCAAGAATTGAATTAAACAAGTCTTAAGTGAAACTTTATCACAAAGCACGCCCTGACAATTCTAGCCAAAAACTAAAATCTTTCATCCTATTTAAAACATCAGTCTCATGATACTAGTCACACACATCAACACATATTACAATAAATTATAGTCAAGAACAAGTTCATCTAGAAACCTTTTATTTACACTTAAGAATAGAGATAGCGAAGTGAATTACTAATGTGATCTTATCTATATATTTTGAACTAAATTTAGTGATTATTTAAGCATAGAAGATTAGCATAATATAAATCCCATAAGGAATAAGAAAATATTGTTTATTTTCTAACTTATTAAATTTGGAGTGTGAGAGAGGTTATATATAATACACTAGTAGATGAAAATTACTAACTCATTAAAATTATCTAGAGAAAACAAAGTTTCAAAATTTTGTTCTATTAAATTAAAATTTTAATTTGTTAAAATCACTTAGGATTTTCCTTAAGTGATTTTAATTTATTAAAGAATATATATATTCAATTAATGTCAAACACGTTTTTTAATTAAATTTTCTTAAGAGAAATTAATAAATTAAATATTTTTTAATCAATTAAAATTTTCTTCCATTTGAACCTAAATATGATAAAAACAATTTAACAAATTAAATTAAAAATTGAGTCAATTAAAATACTTTAAGACTCTCTTGAAGTAAAATTAATAGATAAAATAAGTTCTTATTTGATTGAAAGATATGATTAAAATAGATTAATTACAACCAACTAAGCCTAGTTTACATAAGACATTACAATCATAGCTAAGTTGAACCAATTTCATATATCATCATTGAGATCAATTATGAAATCATTAAATATATTATCATCATACTCTTCTCAAAATCTATCAAGGGAATATATCTTATATCTTTTTAATGAGTTTTATTTCTAAAAATTTGAACAGTGAGAGGGATATTCTGTAAATCTATTATGTAGTTTTCTGACGTTCCTCATTTTAGAAAACTACTCTACAGGATATTTAGATTCATAATTCTCACATAATAACATAAATTATAATAAGGAGACTAACATTGTTTATGAGAGATATCTAATGAAAATGCATTTTTCAATGTATTTGTTCTCCAACCTCCTTTTCCTAATCTATCTTTTTTTCTTTTCACACTTTTCTGATAGTTTACTATGAGAAGAACCTTATGGTCAGAGACAAAATCCTAATCCCCTTTATTAACCAATGTCCATCAAGTTGATTACCGTAAGATTTTATTTTATCTTTATTTTATTCTGACTTCCCATAATAACCAATAGGTCCTTAAATTTTATTAAATCACATTTGAGCTCATCATTATATTTCACATAAGTCACAAAGAATGAATTAATTAAATTAATTTTAACATTCTCCCACTTGACTCATGTGATGATTTCGTGATTTAATACTTAAGTCATTATGCACATTAAAATACCTTACATAAATTTGTTTTATCATTATTCATAATTAAATATACAACTATAACAAGAGTCATGGTGGTTACATGTCATTCAATTGACATGCTCCCTTCCATGTACTACTATATTATCTCTTTCTCCTTAATATAACTTTATAATGAAAAGTCCATAATAGGTTCAAACATAATATCATTTTCAATAATAATAACATAATTTGTTTTCTTCATCATAATTTGCATGCATATAAATAAAGAAGAAAACACAAATTTCAGAAACTTATACATTAAAGATCTTAGAGTGTCACATAAGCATTAATAATAACATTAACATTCAACATTCAACATTCACTAGTAAACATAATATTCATATTCACTATATGGCCAACAAACAACTTGGGCGGTAATCATTTTGTTAAAGGATCAACAATCATAAGATTAGTGCTAATATGTTCTATTGACACTCTTCATTTTTGAACTTCTTCTTTAACAACAAAGTATTTCAATTTCATATGCTTAACACTTTTGGAATACTTGTCGTTCTTAGAAAATAAGACTGCTACGAAATTATCATAATAAATTTTCAACGACTTGGCAATGTTGTTGACTACTCCAAGTTCTAAAATAAAAATTTTCAACCAATTAGCCTGAACTTTGGTCTCAAAGCATGCCACAAATTTAGCTTCCATGGTAGATGTAACAATGATAGACTACTTCACACTTTTCCATAAAATTGCTCCTCCGGCTAAAAGATACACATAACCAAATGTAGACTTTCGTGTATCCATACAACCAGCAAAATCTGAATCTGTATATCCAATCAACTCAAGGTGATCAGATTTTTTATAAGTAAGCATGTGATTCTTTGTTCCTTGTAAGTATCTTAAGACTTTCTTTGCAGCTTTCTAATGATTCAGTCCAAGATTACTCTAGTATCTACCTAGCATACCAACTACAAAGCTAATATCTGGCATTGTACCTGTTTGAGCATAAATCAAACTTCCAATAACAGATGCATAAGAGATATTTTCCATCTATTTTTGTTCCAAGTCATTCTTTAGACATTGCATGAGACTAATTTTGTCTTCTTTTTGTATTGGAATAGGAGATGTTGAACACTTATCCATTTTGAATCTCTCTAAAACTTTATTAATATATGCTTTTTGAAACAAACTTAATAGTCCTTATGATCTATCACATAATATTTCTATTCCTATCACATAGTATGTCTCACCCATATCTTTAATTTCAAAGTTGTTAGAGAGAAACTTCTTAGTCTCACTTAATAGACAAAGATCATTAGTCGCAAGCAAGATATCATCAACATATAGAATCGAAATATAAATTTGCTCCCATTGATCTTCGTAGATATATATATATATATATATATATATATATATATATATACACACTGATCAATAGTATTTTTCTTAATCCAAAGGACATAATAGTATCATTGAACTTAAGATACAATTGCGAAGAAGCTTTTTTAAGTCTATATATTGATTTCTTAAGTTTGCACACATGTGTTCCCTTCTTTCTTCGATGAACTCCACTGGTTGGTCCATATAAACATCCTCCTCTAAATCCTCATTCAGAAAGGAAATTTTAACATCCATTTAATGCAACCCAAGATCATAATGAGTTATTAATGGCATGATAATTCTAAAGAATCTTTCTTAGAAACAAGTGAAAATGTTTCCTTATAATCAATGTCATCTTTCTGAGTAAACATTTTGGCAATAAGTCGAGCCTTGTAACGTTCGATATTGTCGTGAGAGTCACGCTTAGTCTTAAAGACACATTTACATCCAACACTCTTGCATCCTCCTAGCAATTCCACAAGATCCCATACACCATTATGTGTCATTGATTTAAGCTCATACTTCATAGCATTTAACCATTTATCAGAATTATCACCATTAATGGCTTCTGAAAATGAAACTGGATCATTATTAATTTTCAAGTCATTTTCTGACTCTTGTAGATAAACCACATAATCATTTGAAATTGCAGACTTTCTTTCTCTGTGAGATCTTCTTAATATTATTTCTTGTGGTTGTTCTATTATCAGCTCATTGTTAATCTCGGGATTATTAATTTCTTGTTCTTCCTGATTGTCGTGTGGTTCTACAACATGTGGAACAACAACTCTTGAAGAAGATGTACTAGTTACAAGAACTTGTACTCTAACTTCCTTAATCTCTACATTTTGTGAAGTTTCACTCCCACTAGTTTCACCATTTTTAATGAACAGAGCATTTCCAATTTCAATAATTATTGTACTATGGGTAGGACAGTAAAACATATACCCTTTTGATTTTTCTAGATAACCAATGAAATATTCACTGATTGTTCTTGCATCCAATTTCTTTTTTTGCGGATTATAAATCCT